CCGTGAGGGGTGTGGTCATTTGAGCAGAGTCCTTGGAAGTTGCACCCTCCCTCGGCACTGTTCCACTGGCTGTCAGGGACACCTACCCTTGAAGCTGTACTTAATTAATCCTTTGTTGTTCCACACATGGCCTTTCCTAGCCAAGGCTGGCCTGGGACTCACTATGTAGCCCTGGGTGTCCTTAAACATCTGACCCTCTTGCCTCTGCCTCCTGAGCACTGGGGTGACAGATGTGCCCTTCTATGCCTGGTTTGTCTGGAGCTGGGGATGGCACCCAGGGCCTCTGGTGGGCGAAGAAACTCAGCCCTAACCGCTAAAGCATTCATTGACTTGACATTTGAAACGGTGACAGCATTTGAGAAATGTTTCCTGCTTTGCAGAGTGGGAAACTGAGGCCCGGAGAAGGAAGAATGCTGCCCGATCTAAACTCAGTAGGTGAGGCAAGGCTTTTCTCCCGGGGAGAATGGTAGAGAAGACAACTCCCCCACACACACCCTCCACAGCCTGGGCAGTAGCTCTGTGCTCCTTCTCCAACGCCAGACAACGAACAATGTTTATGACCATCTTGGGGGACCAGGGTTGCAGGCGCAGGGAACAACGTGTGTGTGAAGGCCCTGGAGCAGAGGGCACAGCCCACAGGGCAGTGCAGGAGCAGGACAGAGCCTGGTGCTGGGGAGCAGGGAGGAGGTCCAAGTGACGGAGGAGGCAGAGGTGGAGCAGGAGAGGGAGGCAGGCAGGGGCTGGTGGGCTGCAGGGAGGACTTGGGTTTTGTTTATTTGTTTTGTTTCGAGACAGGCTCTATATTGCTCTGGCTGTCCTGGAACTCGCTATGTAGACCAGGATGGCCCTGAGCTCACAGCAGCATCTCCCCTGCCTCCGCCACCCAGCCTGGGCTATGTTGTGCTGTGTTGGGAGGACTTAGTTTGAGTGAAGAGGAGGAGGTGAGCTCGCCACGGGTGCACTGGGAAGCCGTAGTGTGCAGTGCAGACCCAGCCCTGGGTGGTCTCTACCGGATGCTGTGCATCTCAGGGGAGGTGAATACCATCTCTGGACTCATCTCCTTCCTGCTGGAGGGACACCACCACAGCAAGGCTCTCCCTAGGCCACGCAGTCACAGGGCCAAGCATTAGCTGATGTTTATTGCCCCAGATTCTGAGCAGCGTGGGGCCGTTGGGTGACCCCTTTATCAGGTTGTCCTGCTGCTTACACACCTCACTGAGGTGGGAAGATGAGGTCAGCCCTGGTGATGTCACTCCCGAGGACAGTGTGCACACGGGTTCCTTTCTTTGTGCCTTCCGAGGCCCAGGAGCCAGCACAGGGCCCAGGCTTCCCTAGGGTGGGGTCCTCACATGCAGCCCTCCTGGGTCGCCAGGCCCTCAGGATCCCACGGGAAGCCACGGATACCCCAGGACCTCTGAGGACACAGCAACAGGGACCCTTGGACCCAGGCTAGGAAAGGATGGGGGATGCAGGCATCTCTGTGGAGACAGGAATGTGGTGGACCCTGAGGCCCTGAATTTGAACTCATTCCCGCCTGCTCTATGGGCTCATTCCAGACAGAAACCCCTTTGACTGATTAGGGAGCATTTAGAGAGTGCCTACTGTGTACCAAAGCAACGGGGACACAGAAGAGTGGTCAGACCAGCTGTGCCCTCCGCAGGCTGATTCCAGAAGCTGAGGCAGGGGGATGATGAGTTTGAAGTCATACGAGGATACCCAGGGTGAGTGGGTGTAAGGTGGTCTGGTGACTCCCATCTCAGCACTGGAGAGCTGCAGCCGGAGTTGAAGGTCACCCACAGTACACAGCCAGTGTGAGGCCAGCCTGGGCGACAGAGACCCTGAAACACAGAGACGACCTGCGTTTGCCTAGACCTTTACTTTATCTTCTGAGATAGGATCTCATGTAGCCCAGGCTAGCTACCCCTCCACTATATACTGGGGACTTTGAACTCCTGATTCTTCTGCCTCCACCTTCCCGGAACCTGATGGCAGGCGCTGGGGATGGAACCCAGGGCCTACGCCCACGCTGCATTCACTGAGCCCACCCCCACCCTGTTTGCAAAGTCTCGGGAATCGCGGGCCCTTGATCTTGCCCAGTACAAGGTGGTGGGGAGTCAGCACCCTCAGAGCCAGCAGCCTGGACAGCACCCCCAGGCACGCACACCCCCACCTCTGGCTCACACCTGTCATTTTACCGCCGTCTCCTCCCACACACAGCCTGCGGACTGGCGACTGCGATGGTGGCTCGTGTTGGCTAGTGGTGCGGCTACCGGGACAGACAGCCTCACCCGAGACCCTGGGGGCGGGCAACAGGAGCCCTGTGCAGTGTTCCGGGAACCCGCTGGGCAGAACCACAGTGGGGGACTCCAGTAAGGCTCCCCTTCTGCTCTCCTACCCCTCCCTTGTAGGGTCGTCCCCACAGCCTGGGGACAGATGGATCCTGGTGTGTGGGTGGCACTGGCAGAACCAGACAGGCTGACGGAGTGAGGGAGCTCTGAGAACCAGAGACTACACCCCGATGCAGCATCCCAACGAGGAGCGTGTAGCCGGAGTTTACTCCTCCGCCTACAGGGGACACCTGGGGTCCCTGCCGACCGAGCCCTTCCTGGCCTCACATGCTGTCCGAACCTTGTTCCTGCTCTGTCTCATTGCTCAGGCCCCAGGAGAGGCCCAGAGAAAGGGGTCGTTCGGTCGGGGTCACACAGCCCCGAGAGGTGCAGGGCGGTGCTGGGGGCTGGTGGCGCGGAGTCTGGAGTGACGTGGCCCCGCGACCCCTCCTCCCCGTGCAGATCCCGCCCACCCTGGTACCCGAAGCTCCGGGACCTGTGCAGAGCGCGCCTCCTGCCGGGCGACTGGAATCTCCGCAGCCCTGATCCAGGACCAGGACCCAGCAGGAGAGACCTCCGAAGAAGCTTCGGAGATTTCCTGGCGTGCAGCCCCCAGCTCTGGAGGAACTCCCTTCTGAACTACTCGTTTAACCCCTATGCTCCCCATTCCAAACTGAGCCCCGATCCCTTCCGAGTCCCCAAGCTTTCATCTCTGCGCTCTGAAGCTTCGTCCCCAATCAACACTAACTCACCCCAGCCCCAGGTGCCCACCACCGCATTTCCTGGCTCTGTGCCTCTGATGAGGCAAGGGACTCCTGGGAGTGGGACCCTGCAGGGAGTGTCCTGTATCTGGCTCATGTCTCTGAATATCGTGTGCTGGACTTCCATGCATGGTTGAGCAGGTGTCTGAATGACGTCCTTCTTCCTGGCTAATACTCCTTTACACAGTGGGGCACTTTATACAATGACAGACACTAAGATTGCTTCTATCCTTTGGCGCCTGTGAGTAATTCAATTAAAACTGCCACACACATATCAGAATCTGTGTTTTCTACCTAGTGTACCTAGGTGGGGGATGCCTAGGGGCCATGATGATCTTCCGTTAGCTCTCGAAATTTCAAACTGCTTTTCGAAGGTTATCGCCATTTCACACGCCCCCCAGTGGTGTCCTCATTTTGACGGACAATTTATAAGTTGTTTATTACTAAGTTGGGTATGGACCTGGGGTTTCCTGCCAACTAGGCAGACACTCCACCCCTGAACCAATACCCTCCGCCCTTCATTAGGGAATTCTAGGCAGGGGCTTCGAGGCCGGGGCTTCTCCTCTGACCACGCCCCAGCCCCTCATTATCTCCACCTGAGCCACACCCCCAGCCAACACAACTGGGTTTGAGCTCTACTTTGTCACACCCATGCTGTCTTTGGGTTTCCAAAACTTGCAAAATCAAGGCTTTCTGGCAACCAGGTGTCAAAAAACTGCTTCAGTCACACACACACACACACACACACACACACACACACACACACACACACACACACGCTACCCTGGCTCGTACTTGGACGTCTGGGGTATGAAAATCTAGAGCACTGGTCTCTACTGGGGATACTGAGCCATGTGGGGCTGTGGGGCTGAGCTCCCAGCAGAGAGTGAGTGCAGGCCAGGGAGGATGTCCGGCGCCCTGCGGAGCTGGAGGGCTACTGAACACAAGTTTCTGGCCCCATGCATCGGATAGAACAATCTGAAATGGGTGGGGGAGCACTTGGTTCTGTGCTGCTCCGGGCAAGCCGCTTGCCCTCTCTGGGCCTCAGTTTCTATCTCTCATAATGTAAAGGCTGGATTTATTGTTGTGTCTTAAAGCCCGTGCCAGGGAAGGTCAGGACGCAGTCAGCAAACATCTGCGGAGCTTCCTGGAGAGGGCGATAGCGCTGAGGCCTCCTCAGTGCTGTGACTGGGCCATCTAGGCACAGGAAGTGCAGACCGGGGTGGGGGGGTCAGGGGTGGGCGGGAGGTGGTGGGGGTGCCAGGGGTGGGCGGGAGGTGGTGGGGATGTGGGAGCCACTTCCAGGTTGAGTTCCCAGGACTCACAGCTGCGTCCTCCTAGCAGGCAGCTGGCCGAGCCCCGCCCCAAAGAGCGAGTCCATCCTGGTGTCCCCCTCACCCCAGCGACATCCACCGAAGGGGTTCTTCACAGGACTCATGAAACCCAAAGATCGTACCATGCCAAATGTCGGGGTGCACTTGTCACGGGGGTTCCAGGTGGCACCCTAACTATTCAGTGGGTAAACTGAGACCGGCCCGGAGGGGTCCATGTGCCTCTTGGTGCCTCGCGGGGACGCGTGTCTTTGCTTTGTCCTCTCCAGTCTCTTCCGGGGTGCACACGCACCCCATCCTTCTCTGCCCGAGTCTCCTTCTTCCTCTCCCCGCCCCACAGTTCCCGCCACGGAACCCCTGCGCCGCCCTCGCCTCGGCGTCCGGCGTCCGGCGCTAGCTATTCCGGAGGAATCCCCCGTTCACGGACCACGCCTCTATCCGCCCCCGCCACGCCCTCCGCGGCAGAGGCCTGCTTCCATTGGCCCCTTCGTACACCGCCCGTGCGCTACTATTTGCTGAGCCAGTGAGCGCCTGCAGAGGCGGGGCCTGTTCTGTGTAGGGGCGTGGTTACACAAGGGGGCGTGGCCTCCTGCCCAGCCGCCCGCTCAGATCCATCGGCCAGAGCCTTTGGCTGCACGCAGCACAGAGGTCCCTGCACAAAAGTGACGGCCAGCCGGATCCTGAGGAGCAGGTGAGCGACCGGGGTCCCGCACCCGTCCATCCTGAGTCCTTCCCGTCCCCTCCCATTCCCACACCGCCCTGTGTGCATCCCGACCTCAGTTGCTCTCTATGCCTGTGCCTGGCTGTGTGAGCAGGCTGCTGTGTGCTACAATAATGGTCCAGGCATACGCCCTCAAGGGGGACTTGACGGACCCGGCCCTTTTCAGGCGTGCAACCTGACTGCAAAATGATTTGGGTATTCCCTGCAGTGGCGGGCTAGACCCCACTGTGGCTCTGGCTGATACAGGGACCCCGCCTGAGCCCTGTCATCCAGACTAGGAGCTTCCCATCGCCCTGAGGGCTTGGACTCAGTTTTTACCAGCAGGGATCCAGGACAGTTCCAGTCACATAATTGGCAGGTGACCTGACCTAGCTAGGTCTGTGGCCTCCTGGCTCTTTCAGCGGTAGCCTGGAGGGTAAACTGAGGCCCAGAAAGAAGCCTGTGGTTTGTCCAGGAGGTGGAGACAGAATGTGGTTTCTCACCTTTGTGAGCGGCCAGTCTGAAGAGGGACAGAGTGAAGGCCGAGCTGGACACAGGCTCCTGGGTCACTTCCCCGCTCCGGGCTGTGAAGCCTCTGGAAGCCTGCCTTGGGGTCAGGACACAGCTCACACAAACCTGACTCCCTTGAACAAGTAACTTAATTATAAGCCTCAGTTTCCCTGTCTATGACTTGAGAAGGCTGTTTCCGGACTCCCTGGGGCTACAGGCTTCTGGGAGGATTAAAAGTTCAGACAAAACACCAGAGGTGGACCCGGGGTGGGCAGCTATGTCTAAAACAAAGAGGAGACTGGGGTGTAGCCAGGGTGAGGGGTGGGGGGAGTGTTCACCAGGAGTGGGGTGCATGGCTTTGATCCCAGTGCTTGAAGCAGAGGCAGACAGATGTCTGCGAGTTTAAGGCCAGGTCTGCATAGTGAGTTCCAAGCCAGTCACGACTCTCTAGTGAGAGTCAAGCAACAACCAACCAAGAGAGAAAGAGAAACAGGAATGTGGGCTTTGTGTGCCAAACTTCCTGCTTTTCTGTCCTGGGACTTCAGAGTGGCTGCCCCTGACCCACATGGGATGTCCAGCCGCAGGACCTTTGCACAGGCCTTCTACAACCACGGCTGAGCAACACAGGCGCCAACTTTAAAACATAACAAGTTCATGATCTGGGCCGCACCTAGGACGTGGGTGGCTGGCAGGGACGGGGCAGGGCGGGGCCATGGGGACTATAATGTGACCGAACAAAGAGCAATGGCACTAAACATCTGGGCTGGGCCAGGGCTGGGGAGTCCTAGGATGGGGGACAGGGACAGGAGACACTTGTCCCTCAGTTTAGCCTCTGAGCTCTGGGCAAGCTAGGACCCAGCCCACAAAAGTGTGTTTAATGATTCAGTGTGAGGGGACTCAACATCCCTGAGGCCCAGTAGTCATGGCCGCAGGGGGACGAGTCAGCTGCTGAGTCAGGTGCCACCCAGGACCACTGGAGCCTTACGGAGGGAGAAGGTTGATCTGGGGATCCGGCAAGCCCACTCCCCCCAGAACCCCAGCATGGCGCCTGCCACCATGCAGTCACTTTGAGTTCCCAAACCTCTGTTTCCCCATCTGGAACCCTGCTGAGGCCATCAAGGACCCTCTAGAGGGCCCTCTGCATACTGGGGGCTTCCACAGTCCTGACCAAAGGCACCATCAAAGGGCTGATGGGGTGCACAGCTTCTGGAAGATTCCCAGGCTGGATCAGTAGGCCCCTCCAATTTTGGAGTGAGCCCAAGGGTGTGGTGGGCAGAGGCTGCCGTGAGATGAACTCTTAGTTAGGGGCTGGATTCATATCACAGTTCTGACTTACTGTTACTCTGTGGATATCCGTCAGCTCCCAGGCCCCTGCCTCAGTTTCTCCTTTTGTCATAACCATGAGGGGTTACTTAGTCATTTGACAAACAGTTCCTGACACTGAAGGGGACGTCAAGTTTGGTGTCCACCTCCTCCTGCCTCACAGTCGGCAGAGCTGGACTCTGTCCTGAGTTATGACTTCAACCATCAGATGAGGCAGGGATGGAGAGGAGGGGTCAGTCTCACAGCAACCCTGGGAAAGAGTACTGTAAGTGGGGGTTCAGCTGTGCAAAGGCCCTGGGGCCTGTACGGAAGGAGCATGGAGGAGGCCTGTGGCTGGAGCAGACAGAGAAGAGAGGTAGGACACTGAGGACTTCGACTCCAGCAGTGAGGGAGGTGGCAGCCATGGAGGGTTGAGGGGGGCTGACTCTGCGCCCTCGGGGCTCCCGGCGTTTTGGGGATCTTGGCGAGGGTGAGAGGAATCGGGATGGACGCTTTGGAGCATTGAGAAACGGAGGGGGCTGGTACACTCTGGGGCTGAATGCGCACACTGTGACCTCCATATTCACCTTGTTAAAGGCTTGAGTGGGTGCTGGGTGTGGTAGGACGTTCCTGGGAGGCTGAGGCAGGAGGATCATGGTAACCAGAAGCTAGCCTGGCTATCGAGTGAGACCCTATTTCAAACTCAAACTCTGTCCCTGAAGAAGCCATATGTGGAAGCTGAATCATGGATGCCCCCCATGACAGTCTCTTAAAATATATTAATTTATTAATTTTTGGGCATACCCCCCAGCCTCCCTACCCATACTTGGTGCCGTCATTGTGGAGACCCTGTTTGAGGACCCCCAGTGTCTTCTCCGCTTGGGAGCCTCCTTCCTCCCTGATTTCCCTGAAAGCCAATGGCGACGGGCAGAGAGCCCCTGTCCTGACGCTAAGGGTGCTGTTTGCAGGCAGGGTCCCCAGTAGGTGACACCGTGCTGGGAAAGAGACTTTTGAGGCCCTGGATGACTTTTGGCCCAGCCACCCTTGGGACAGTCAGCCAGGGTGGAGAGCGAGGATGATGGGCTTGGCGACATCAATTATGGATGCGCTGCGTGTGGGACATAAAAAATTCATGAGGCCAGGGGCTGCCCAAGGGTGGGCGTCAGTGTCAGCCTCACGAGAGCTGCTGCTGGGTTTTGGGAATTTCGCCATCTCGTTGTTAAACTCAGATTAAAAGTCAAAGAGTGAGTGCTTTCTAGCTAAGTAAATCATGTTGTATTCATTATTTATTACATTTATTTACTGTGTGTAAGCCAGGGCACGTGGGCTGGAGGTTATATAATAACTTGTGGGAGTTCATTCTCGCTCCCATAGTGTGGGTCTCAGGGATTGAACTCAGGTTGTCAGACTTGGTGGCAAGCGCCTTTACCTATGGGCATGCTGACAGAATGTAAATCGTATCATAAATAAGAAAATTGTCAGATCTGTCAGCCAAGCTGAGGAGGCAGAGGCAGGAGGATCAGGAGTTCCAGGTCAGCTTTATTTAGTGAGGATAACAGCCTGGGCTACGGGGCTGGAGAGATGGCTCAGAGGTTAAGAGCACTCACTGGCTGTTCTTCTAGATGGTCCTGAGTTCAATTCCCAGCAACCACATGGTGGCTCACAGCCATCTATAATGAGATATGGTGCCTTCTTCTGGTGCGCAGGCACACATGCAGGGAAAACACTGCATACATAATAATTAAATAAATCTTAAAAAAAAAAACAGCCTGGGCTACAAAAGACTTGGTCTCAAAACACAAAACAAAATAAAAGCATAAGAAGGGCGCTTTCTCGGATGTGAATGCTGTTTCAGTGAAGCTACTATTAAGACGCAGAGGTTAGGTCAGGTGGGGCGCACGCCTTTAATCCCAGCACTCAGGAGACAGAGGCAGGCGGATCTCTGTAGTTTGAGGCCAGCCTGGGGTCCACAGACCCTGTCTCGAAACAAAACAAAACAAAAAGGGGTGGGGAGAAATACCAAAACCAGAAAGCATGTGTCAGGGCTGAGGATGAACCGGAAGGTAAAATGCTTGCTGTCCAAGTCTGACTCTCCGGAAGCCCACACCACTGTCGTCTCATGCTAGAGGTCGGGACAGGAGTGTCCCTGGGGCTCAGTGTCAGGGCTGGGTGTAGGGAGGAGGAGGAAGACACAGGTGTCAATCCCGGCCTCCACATGCACAGCAGAGGAGGAAGCCGGGCCATCAGTCCCCAGCACCACGCAGTGGCCACCAATATAGACACCCGTGGCCTGGCTGTGGCCTGCGCCCGAGTTTGTCCTCTCTCTCCTGAGTCTGCTGGGAACAGCTCGGGGGCTTCCGAGCGTCACACATCTCTTGTGGCCACGATGGCCTCGAGGACCGGATCCTCAGACCTCTGCAGAAGCCTGGGCTTCTGGCCGACTGTGGCGACCATGGGGATGGGGCCTGGGGACTGCCGACCGATTAGAGATCGTGTCAGCTGCGCCAAGACACAAGGGCCTGTCCACTGCACTCACCTCTGGGCACACCAATGAGTGCGTGTGGGGTAACAGTAAGACTTCATTCACAAAATCAGGTCGGCGCTGTGAGCAAGTGGGGGGTCGTGAGCGAGCAAGTAGGGCAAGTGGGGGGCATGAGAAAGGGGCGGGGCATGAGAAAGGGGAGGGGCATGAGCAGGGAGGGGCATGAGAAAAGGGCGGGGCATGAGAAAGGGGTGGGGCATGAGAAAGGGATGGGACATGAGCAGGGAGGGGCATGAGAAAGGAGAGGGGCATGAGAAAGGGGTGGGGCATGAGCAGGGAGGGGCATGAGAAAGGGGTGGGGCATGATAAAGGGGTGGGGCATGATAAAGGGGTGGGGCATGGCAGGGAGGGGCATGAGAAAGGGGAGGGGCATGAGAAAGGGGTGGGACATGAGTAGGGAGGGGCATGAGAAAGGGGTGGGGCATGAGCAGGGAGGGGCATGAGAAAGGGGTGGGGCATGAGAAGGGTGGGGCATGAGCAGGGAGGGGCGCATCTCCTGGCGTCTACAAAGACCAGAAAGCAATGAAGACCTTTTATTTTGGGCATGGGATGTCACTGTGTAGCCCTGACTGCCCCGGAACTCACTCTGTAGACCAGGCTGGGTTTGAACTCACAGAGACCCACCTGCTTCTGCCTCCCGAGTGCTGGGATTAGAGGCGTGCACCACCACCTCTTGACTTCTCCCAGGCTTTTCTGTGGGTGGCTGGGACTTGAACTCAGGTCTGTATGCTCACAGCAAGCATTTTACCCACTCAGTTGTATCTAACGGGTGTAGCGATGTCCCAAGGCCCCGAGGCTTCCAAGGTACCTGGGAAGCGATGTTGGTGCTCTGTGACAGCCCTCGAGCTTCCTGGACTGACTTGTGTGGGTGGGCCGAGGGGAGGGGGGACTGGATGAAGGGCAATGATGAGGACAACACGTGTGTCACCTGGGTTTGAACCTCCAATCGCTGGGGCCCATGTTTCTCTCCACACTTTTCTCTCCAGAATTCTTTACACCCCGTTTCGCATTCAGGAATCGGTTAGTCACTGCATACACATTTACTGATCACCAGCTGTAGGCTTGGTGGGGTGTTCCCTGCAGACCCTACCAAGACCAAGAGAGACCCCGCTCCCACCCTCCCAGCCTCTCCCCTCTTGCCTCCTGCACCTGCAGACCCGAGCTGCCACCCCCAGCACTGCATACAGGAGGTGTGGCAGCACCTCCTGGCACTCAGGAGGTGGAGGCGGGTGGATTGGGAGTTCACAGCTTTGTAGCGGGGAGAAAAGAAAAAGCAGGAAGTGGGCCAGGGAGGTGCTCCTGAGTTCGGACCTTTACTCCCCAAGGCCTCCTGCAATCCACCACGGCAGCAAGGCCCTGTGGCTTGACCTTGTAGCAGGGGCCAAGATTGATCTCTGATTCCAGAGCCGGCCCAGTGGCTGCAACTGTCCCCACTGCAGGGGGAGGTCCGATGGAATCTGGCAGGCAGCCTGAGGCAGAGGGATGACCCAGAGCTGTTATGGGGTGCTGGGAGCTGCAGGAACTGATGGGGTTCAGAGTGCAAACTCAAGTAGGGTTTGGCATCCCATGAGAAGTCTAAGGAGGACGGTGTGTGTGTGTGTGCGTGTGTGTGTGTGTGTGTGTGTGGTGCACGCCTTTAATCCCAGCACTAGGGAGGAGGGGGCAGGTGGACCTCTGTGAGTTTAAGGTTAGCTTGGGCTATGTGTAGTGAGACCTGTTCTCAAAGAAAACAAAAACCTAAAAAACCCACCAGGGCCCAGGAGAGGATGTGGGGCCCTGATTTTGGATTGGGGACTATTGTCCCTGCAGGGTGAGGAGCTATGTTCATGGCCTGGATGGCCCAGGCGGTGTGGCCCTGCCCCAGGGCCTTTGCAAAGTCACCTCCCACTACTGTCCCCCCCCCTCTGACCTGTCCTGGGGTTCAAAGCTCCCGGACAAGCTGCCTGTCTGTGGACCTTGCTCTGGCCTTCTCCCACGCCGAGGCCCACTCTTTGCTGTTTGTTTTTAGTGTTTACTGGTTTGGTTCGTGTGTTTTCCTCCTCCCCCGGCTCACAAGGCCTCTTTAGGGTGGATTTGGGGCTCCAGCCAGACACAGTGGGCACGTGCCTATCATTTCACTGTGAAGGGGCTACGGCAGGAGGATTAGGAGTCTCAGGCCAGGCTGGGAGATGTGAAACCCTGCCTGGAAAAAATGTAAAAATACATAAAAACGAATTAAGGGGTGCAGTGGGTGATGTGAATTCAACTCCAGGCCCAAGATGGTCCCCAAATTACGTCATAATCAGAAGATGCAGAACGGGAGCACTGGGGAGGCGGGGGCAAGGTCTCTTCTGGTCACTTCTGTGCCCCTGGCGTTGGGTACTCAGCTGGTGCTCCATAAACACCCATTCGGCAATGGAGTGACCCAGTGAGAGTTGGACTGAGTTCTGAAGGGTAGGGTGGGCTGCTTAGCGCTAGACTTTGGCGGGGTGCTGTGGCCCAGGGTGGGCAGGGACCAAGGCCACAGCGCCTCTTTCCTGGGGAAGTCCCTGCCTGAAGGCCTCACGTGGCTGCACACAGACCCTAGGCAGGAAGGCCTGTCCCCCGGGACAGCCACCATCCTGGTCTGTTAGGACAATGGGCTTCAGAACAGGAAGTGGAGGCCAGCAGCTGGCTGCCCCAGGTGGCTGCTCAGGAGTGGGGATAGCCGGGATGGCCGCAGCTGTGCCCCCCTGCCCCCCCCAGTCTTCCGGAAGTCCACACACTCTCAGCTTCACTCCTGAGCCACGGAGCCCAAATTTGGTTTTGTCCATGGGTAAGTATGGCCCAGAGAGGATCAGCACCCCCCGGAGTCACACAACCACCAAGCCAAACAAGGAAGCCAGACTTTGTTCTTCTGAGAGCCCCTTGTTCAGTGTCAATTGGGAAACAGTCCCTGGGTGGTGCAGAGGTCCCTCTGCTCCTGTCTGCGAGAGAATCTTCTTGCTTTCCTCTGTTTTTTGGAGAGGGTCATGTAGCTCCGGCTGCCCTCCAGCTCCCCATGTAGCTCAGGCTGACCCCTTGCCTCCACCTCCAAGGGCCAGGGTGACAGGTGTGCAATGTCTGGTGTCCATGGTGTCCCCAGTCACTAGGGAGGAGGCAGGAGCACCCAGGTGTGGGGTCATCAGGGGCTGACCGTCCTCTTTGCCGCGTGGCCCCTGGGTACAGTGGACTTTGAGGGGACAGACTCCACCACTGAGCATTTAATCCTGCCTGAGCCACTCAGGACGGCTGTGCTCTTTGCAGAATGGCGTTGGCGGAGGTGACGAAATGGGTTCACGTGGCAGGAGCACTGTGTCAATAGCTGTGTCTGGGCCCTGGCTGGTGGACAGCGGGGTGGGGGGGTGAGGAGGCAGGGAAGCTGCAGAGCCATCCATGGGCCCCTGACCGCTAAGGCCAAGGACAGGATGGGAGGGGTGGCTGCCTGGGGTCTGGGTTCATACAGAGGCAGGCTTTGTAGAGGACTCAGGGATGAGTGGGCTGGGTGGGTGGTGCATGGCTGACCAGGGTCAGGTCTCAACACGGCCCCTGTGTGTCCCTCAGCTTTTCCGGGTTTGCTCACTCCTAAAGGGGCCAGAGGTCCCCAAGAACACAGCAGAAGAAGGGTCAGGCCCTGACTCCCCTCTGTGGTGGGGGAGGCAGTTGCAGCCATGCAGCCCTGTGAGGCTCAGAGGGAGGGCTGCATGGGAGGGTCAGGCTCTGGGCACTGGGAGGTTTGTAGGAGTTTATTAGGGAAGGGGCCTGAGAACTCTCAGTGGTTATGAGCGCTTGTCTCTTGGGGAAAATTCTAGAACTGCTTGATCTAAGTACTGTGACAGAAGGGTTGGGGCTGCTCCACGGGGCCGCTTGCCTGCTCTGACATCAAAAGCCTCAGCTCCCAGCCAGCAAACAGCCAGCTGGCTTCGGGAGTAAAGGTGGTGCCCGGCCCTGTCCAGATGTTACCATCTGCATGCATTCCTTTGACCTGTCATCCCGCAGGGCCCATGGACACCTTCAGCACAAAGAGCCTGGCCCTGCAGGCCCAGAAGAAAGTTCTCAGTAAGATGGCCTCCAAGGCCATGGTGGCCGTATTTGTGGACGACACCAGCAGCCAGATCCTGGACGAACTGTACCAAGCCACCAAGGAGTTCACCCGCAGTCGGAAGGAGGCGCAGCGGGTGGTGAAGAACCTGGTGAAGGTGGCGGTGAAGCTGGCCGTGCTGCTGCGGGCGGGTCAGCTGGATGGCGACGAGCTGGTCCACTTGCAACGGTTCCGGGGCCGGGTGCGCAGTCTGGCCATGACAGCCCTCAGCTTCTACCAGGTGGACTTCACCTTCGACCGGCGAGTGCTGGCCGCAGGGCTGCTGGAGTGCAGGGACCTGCTGCATCAGGCTGCTGGCACGCACCTCACCGCCAAGTCCCATGGCCGCATCAACCATGTCTTCGGCCACTTTGCCAACGGCGACTTCCTGGCCGCGCTGTACGGCCCGGCAGAGCCCTACCAGGGTCACCTGCGCCGCATCTGCGAAGGCCTTGGGAGGATGCTGGACGAGGGCGGCATCTGACCTGGTCTGGGGACCGCCCCCCCCCGCCGAGAACACCACCACTCGTCCCAACTTCTGCTCCCCCTTCTGCTCCCCAGACGCTGTCTTGCAGCCCAGGCTCTCTAAGTAGCTGAGGCTGACCTTGAACTAATGCCGCTGCTCCTGCAGTTGCCTCCGGAGCGCCGAGGTGGTGGGTGTGCTCCACCGCTCGCTGTTGGCCTTGTCATTCTTTCAGACAAGAGCGTGGAGAACTGGGAGAAAAGACTTGTGCTCCCTACCCTCTGGCCCCTGCCAAATGCCCATGTTCCCTTCCTAATTCTCAGGCCTCCCAAGGTGACTTGCTTTAGGAAATGGAGTTCAAGCCCTGACACCAGACTAGGACTGAAGCCGTCCCAGCCTGCCAGGTGGGCGTTGGGATCCGGAGGGGACACCATCTGGGACTGCATCTGAGAAAAACTGCAGGGGAGGTGGCTCAGCATGTCGGGGCGCTCGCTGCCAAGCCTGATCATGGAGTTTGATTCCCAAAACCCGCACAGTGGAAGTAGAGAACCAGTTTTGGCAAGTTGGCCTCTGACCTCCACGTGGCCCGCCCACGTGACCATGCACTGATGAGCTACAGATCTGCTGGAGTCCTTGGGAGGGAGGAGCCTGGGGATCTCAGAGGCTGTCCCAGCTTCAACAGGGCAGAGCTACTGGAGACACATGTCTGTTAAATTATAAAGTGCTATTTGGGAGTCAAGCCCAACGTTTCCCTTTGTGTTGCAGCCAGGGCTTGTACCCAACGCTGACTTCCCCTACGGGCACTATGAGACAGGACTTTCATCCTTGGAAAGGTAGGCAAGCTTTAGCTACCTTCGAGCACAACTGAGGTGTGGATTAGTGCTCTAGAATTCCCCAGTGAGGGGCTGGGGGCGTGGCCAGAGGTGGAGCCCCGCCTAGAATTGCCTAGTGGGGGCGTGGCCAGCTATAGGGGTAGGGAAGTGAAGACCCCGCATCTGCACATGGTGGATGGCGCAGCGGTTGTGCAATGCTGCAGAGGGAAGGTTATCTGGGGTGTTGGGGAGGACTGCAGGACACAGTTTACAACCTGTAGCCTGTGGGGCCTGGTGGGAGCCAGAGGCTTCAGTAGTGTTTCAGACAAAGGCCAACACTTACAAGTAAGATTCTACCAACAGCTACAGATTGATTTTTGTTTTTTTTTTTTTTTAAGCAGTATCTTAGCCTGTAGCCCAGGTCGGTCTGGCATTCATATCCTCCTGCCTCAATGTCCCAAGGGCTGGCTAGAGTCGCAGCCTGAGTCCCACACTGCTTTGCTACAGTCACCTCTCCTGTCAGCCCCTTGAAGCCACTCCAGCTCCACAAGGGAACTTGTCTCCCTTTAGGCGCTGGGCTGGATCTTGAAACTGGGACACCAGCACGCATGCTGCTGTCCCCAGATGAAACCTTCATGCTGACCAAATGGGAAAAGTCTTGAGTTTTGTGGGCTGTGTTCATAGGGTGGGGGGGGGGGCCCAGAGCACACGAGGGACTCTTGTGTTCACGGGTCCATCGCCTGTGCTATGCAGGGCCCTGCCATCAAGTCAGCCTCTTTTCCTTCTTAGGGCTGGATTCTCAGGGTGGCCTGGACCTCTTGCCTCCGCACCTCGAATGCTCGAGATCACAGGCCTATGCTTCCAGGTCTGGGATAGAAAAATGTTTAAAGCTGTTGTGGGGCTGGTTACACGGATCAGTGGGAAGAGGAGCTTGCCGCCAAGCCTGCCGACCAGAGTGTCTCTATGCCTGGGGCCACATGGAGGAGAGACAGCCATGTCCCACAAGCGTCCTGTGACCTGCGCCTGTGTTCTGTGGCTCTCAGTCAACCACAGAGACTAATGAATCCAGACAAAAACTCAAGCTCAGAGTTAAGCTAATGTCAGAGGCCCTGACAGGGTAGTTCCTCCCCTGCCCAGCCGAGAGATGACAAGATGGGGATAGACACCCCCACCCCAGGCTCCATTGTGTCCCCTGGGCTAGTCACACGCCGGTGGCTGTAGCTTCCAGTAAGATGAGGAGAGGGTCTGGATGTGGCTGAGGCTTCCCTGGCCTCCTGTGCTTGAGGAACTGAGCTCATTCCTGGCACGAGTTTTCCCCCCAGAAAGCTAAGATTTAATGATAAAGGGCCACTGTGTCCCAGCACCCAGTTCTATAGACTTTGTGTCCTTGGTGACAGTTGGGGACCCTCAAAGACACACAGGAGGAGAAAGTCTTCATGTCATCCCATGTCCTTCCCTACCACGGGGTGTAAGGTGAGGACTGTGCCACCTATACCTGGTATCGGAGTCCTTGGAGCGTCAGGTTCCTAAGACGACTCTTATGTGTGGCCTTCCCAGAGCACACACAGCACATGTCCTCAGGTGGGTCCCACTCTGTAGTCTTAGATGTCCTGAAAATCACTGTGTAGTCCAGGCTAGCCTCCCACTCACAGAGATCCCCTCACCTTTATCAAAGTCCCCTCCTTGAAGCTTGGGACAACAGGAAGGTGCCTTGCCCTTGCTATGGGACAAACCCCCCCAAAGAATGGGGGACACCAGTGCCCTGTGCAGGTCTGAGAGGCACAGGACTGTCTGGAAGCCTCAGTCTCTCACGTTTGTCCAGAGGTCAAGCCCAAACTGAAAGCCTGAGACACCTTAGGGCTTCTGTGGGTTTCTTTGGCTGCAGGTTATTTTTGGATTCGGTTTAAAGACTGCTTAATGGGGCTGGGCAGGCGCTCAACTGAGTGCTGACTGCTCTAGCAGAGGGCCCAGGTTTGATTCCTACGGGCAGCCCACAAGCACCTCAACCCCAGCTCTCGGGTCTGATGGCCTCTTCTGGCTCCACAGGCACACAGATGACAGACTCGCAGACACTCACAAATGCAAGCATAAAATAAATCTACTGACATCTAGCTTCTACCTGAGTTCAAAAGCCCACCTGAAGCTAGAATCTGTGGGGACAGTGGCCTCACCCTGGGGTCCTTGTGCCAGGGGACAGTATGGATTCTAGACAATGCGGCAGCTCAGGAGTGACTCATCCCTCCATGGGTGTAAAGTCACTGGCCGCCTTGGGGTCCACCATGTTGGTACCTGTGTGACAGTCACTCTTGGAAAAGGCCACCTGCCTGTGTCTGCTGTTGCTACCATGAAAGGCGAGGAAGGCAGCGGGAATTCGAGTCTGAGTCCTGACCCCACAGAGTCCCAGCTGTTTATTTGTTCTGTCTCTTCCCCTCCTTTTGAATGGAGGTGCCTTGGGTGGGGTGAACAGTCCCGGGGATGAGGATGCTCATCTGTGGCTCAGAGGGAAAACCACACTGATTTCAGGAGAGCCAGGAGGCCCCTCGGTCCCACCCAGCATGTCCTGTGCTTCCCTGGTGACATGGGTGACAGGACTCAGAGTTCAGCAGAGTGCTGCAGTGTGAGCTGTAAACAGGGCGACACCAGCTCCTACGGGAACCAGTGTCCCAGACAAGTAGTCGGGGCAAGTGCGCCTGAGGAGGACAGGGCGACCCATGATACACGGTGAGTCACAGCTCTGAGCGCGCCGCCTTGGCCACTATCACCAGCTTGGAGAGCTCAGACTTGAAGGCCCCAGGCCTGTGAGACACTGCAAGACAAAAGCAGAGTTGGGCCCCGACACGGTGCCACGCGAGACGCTGACACAGGGACAGTGCTGGCAGAGGGGCAGGTACGGTGGATGAAAGCGAAACTGCAGAGCCAGGTATGGTCACTGGCTTGTCGCTGCAGCCAGGGACATGGCAGAGGGCTGGGGCGTGGTCAAGGAGCCCCCACAGCCCCAGCAAAGCCTGGAATAGGTTCTTCTGAGGACTGGGACCCACGGCCTTGGGCTGCCAGGGCCTCCCTCACCATGCCCTCAGAGTCTCGCAAAGCTACGCTAGGACCTTGATCCTCTGGATTTGCGCTCTGCCTGGGATGTGTTGCCACAGCAACACCAAGGGGACCAGGACAGGTGATAGCTAGGATGCTGCGAGCTAACCTGACAGGAACAGCTACAGCACAGGGCCCGCCCCGCAAGTGGCTTTGCCTTTAGTCCGCTCCCCATTCTCCAGATGGTCTCTGAGCTGCAGTGCACGGTCACCAGGCCCTGCCACCTCTCTGAGCTGCAGTGCATGGTCACCAGGCCCTGCCCCCTCTCTGAGCTGCAGTGCACGGTCACCAGGCCCTGCCACCTCTCTGAGCTGCAGTGCACGGTCACCAGGCCCTGCCACCTCTCTGAGCTGCAGTGCACGGTCACCAGGCCCTGCCACCTCTCTGAGCTGCAGTGCACGGTCACCAGGCCCTGCCACCTCTCTGAGCTGCAGTGCACGGTCACCAGGCCCTGCCCCCTCTCTGCAAATGGCTCTTTCACAGGTGCTGGCGTGTCTTCCACGTGCTCTCCCATCTTCACCTACCTGCTGTCTTGGTCACTTCAAATTCCTCACTTTTAAGGGGGACATCACTCTCTCTCTCAAACGCAGCTTTGGACTGCAAGAGAACAGGGCACTTCAGTACACACACGCCATGACAGAGAAGTCCCCTCCGGTCCCCTCAGTTTGGTATCCTGAGCACTGTGGCCTAAAGCCAGGCATGCTTGCTAGAGTGGATGCAGTGATCCCAGTGTGGATCCCAGGCAGGGTCAGCTCACAGGTGACAAGAAGCCTCAGTGTCCCCTTGCCTCCCAACAACACACTTAAGGAGGCTGCTATACGGCTCTGGTGCTGAGGGTAGAACCTGTTGTCCACTGACTTGAGGGAAAGGAGTGGACCAAAGCCGCCTGGTTCCTCCCACCATCCTGCAGGGTGCACTGGCCTCCGCTGCCAATCTCCCCTTCTTCTGGCCTCCCGGGGTTAAGCAGGTTTATGTAGAGGGATGGACTAGGTGCCCCCATCACGGGCCTCCTGCTGAGGTCCCCAACTCAGGTGGGAGTCTGGGGGGTCAGGAGGGTGGCTGAGTTCCTTGCAGTGAACAGTATCTGGGGCCCTGCAGACCCCTCCCATCCTGGGGTCCCCCAGACTGGCACTCACATAGGCCATGGCGTACTCGATCTCAGCACCCCGCACCTCGGCCTTGAACTGTGTGAAGTAGAGGTAGGACTTCCCCTGGGGCCTGTGGGGAGACAGAGTCAGCACAGGAGGTACCCAATTGAAGCCCCAGAAAGAGCTTAGTGACATGCGACTCCATGGTAGGAACTGCCAGGACTGTAAAGCCTGGGGACAGGGCTACATTTTGGGGTTTGCCTTCTTTTTTGTTTCAAAACTGGTTTTTGAGACAGGGTGTCTGGTAGCCCAGGCTGGCCAAAGCTAGCCTTGAGCTCCTGGTTCCCTTGCCTCTGCCTCCCCAGAGCTGGTGAACATGAGAAACAGTAGGCAACTGTACTCCACAGAAGGCAGGGCTCTATTTCAAGTTTTAAAGTTTGCCAGAAAGTGCTTTGGTGACTTCCTGCCCTGTGACCTAACTCCCCAGACCCGTGCCCTCCTCTCTGCTGTCTTCCCCTCCCCTCCCTCTCTGCTTGGTGCTTTGGTGTTAACAACAGACTTCCCGGGGTCACAGGGCCACTATCCAGTGTTTCCCACTTGTCCTCCATGGAACACAGTGTGCACATCCTCAGTGGCTGCAGGGGACAGCAGTCCCCCTCCCCCAGCCCCGAGCATCCTCAGTGACTGCAGGGGACAGTCCCCCTCCCCCAGCCCCGAGCATCCTCAGTGGCTGCAGGGGACAGCAGTCCCCCTCCCCCAGCCCCGAGCATCCTCAGTGACTGCAGGGGACAGTCCCCCTCCCCCAGCCCCGAGCATCCTCAGTGACTGCAGGAGACAGCCCCCCTCCCCCAGCCCCGTGCATCCTCAGTGGCTGCAGGAGACAGTCCCCCTCCCCCAGCCCTGAGCATCCTCAGTGGCTGCAGGGGACAGTCCCCCTCCCCCAGCCCCGAGCATCCTCAGTGGCTGCAGCTCACCTCCAGATGGTACAAGTGATGTGCTGACTGTCTTCACTTGTCCCCAGACTCATCTGCCATTGCTGGGGAGAGAGGACAGGCGTGGTGAGCAGGGACAGGTGGCCAGCCTCTCTGCAAGACCCTCCCAGGCTAGAGCCACAGACACTGTCCTCCAGTGGATCAAGGCACTGTCTATGTCATTTTCTCCCGTAGGGGACAACAGCTTGAGAATGGCTCCCAGCTCGGCAACAGCGAGATCCTGTCTAAAAACCAGACAAGGGTTGGGGACTGTGGGTCAGTGTCTGGCTCCAACCCCAGAAACAGGGCACAGTGGAGCAATGTCTGTCACCCCAGCACTCAGGACAATCAGCAGTTAGCCTTACCCACACAGGAAGCCAGCCTGGGCTACAAAATACCCTGTCTCAAAAAACAAAACACACACACACACACACACACACACACACACACGCACGCACGCACGCACGCACGCACGCACGCACGCACGCACGCACGCACCCCAAACAACCAAAAAACAAAATATGGGCATAGTGTAGTGGTACATGTCTTTATTACCGACACTCAGAAGGCAGCTCTCTTTGAGCTCGAGGTCAGCCTGGGCTATGTTATAAGTTCCAGTCCAGCCAGACATATACCATGAGACCCTGTCTCAAACAACGACAACCCACAGCCTGAGAGACGACTTTGCACCTGAGGTCACGGCTGCTCTTCCAGAGGACACAGGCTTGTCCCAGGACCCACATGGTGGCTCACAGCCATCTTTAACTCCAGTTACAGGGGGCCTGATGCCCTTTTTTGGTCTTCACTTCACGTGTACCAGATATGCAGCTGGTGCACAGACATTCATATGGCAAAACACCATACACAAAATAACTGGCACAAAAACAAAAGCTGCTGGGTGGTGGCGCACGCCTTTAATCCCAGCACCGGGGACGCCCTGACTGCTCCTTCACACATCACAAGAAAGGTCGTCCTGGACTGCAGACTACACATCTGCCATATACCAAGCACTCTCGTCAACAGTCACGGCCTGAGTGAGGGGCACCATGCCTGGCAGGTTGACAAACCACTCCCTTCCCTGTCTAGATGCTTGCAGCAGGGAGTAAAGAATCTCAACAGGCATGGGGGCTCAATTCTGTCATGCAAGCAGACTTGAGAGATAGAGGCAAGGGGATCGCCTAATGTGTGAATCAGCCTGGGAAACACAGGAAGGCTGGGTCATTCTGGGCTGCAGCGTGAGCCTATCTCAAAATAAGGCCCTGGAGAGGTGGCTCCGAGGCTAAGGCTGCTCTTCCAACACACACGGGGTGTCCAACTCATTGAACCTTGAGGCCAGGGCTGCGTCTTCTGGCTTCCATGGGCACCAAGCACATATACGGTACATAAGATACCATGCAAGCAAAATAGCCATATACATTAAAAATATAATAAGTAGCCTGGCGGTGGTGGTACACACCTTTAATTCCAGCATTCAGGAGACAGAGGCAGGTGGATCTCTGTGAGTTCAAGGCCAGCCTGGTCTATGGGCTCCAAAGCTACAGAGAAACCATCTTGAAAACCAACAAATAAATAAATAAAAGTAATGAGTAAATATCTTCAAAATAATAATAATTAGTAAATATCTTCCAAAGAAGAAGTAAGTATCTTCCAAAAATCAGAAAGAAAGAAAACGCACCGTCTGCACGTTCTCTGTGCTAACTGGTTGATGGCAAGACCACGTCCACAAGAGAAGGAGGCAAATGAGACCCTGTGTGACTCACCTCGTTGGTCCCTCCTTGGGAAGCGTACGTGAACGTGCACGTGAACTTGCCCTGGGGAGGAGAAAACAGAACCCTGAAGGACCACTGTCCCAGGGTCCAGATCAGGACCCCAGCATGGGTGTGGCTCTGCATGCCCATCATCTCAAGCACCGGACCCCGCTGTCACGCACTGTTCTGAGTCTCCATGCCTTACAAGCATGTTTCCTAAGTCAGAAGTATCCTGGAAACCATGCTTTTCAGCCTCTGCTAAACTTGTGGGCCCATGACGTACACCCACGCCTTTCCTTGCTAACCCTGAGCACTTGGGACCACTCCCGTTACACACGGTGTGCTCTTGCACCGATCTTCCCCAACAGCTGTTTTCTAGCCACCCCAAGCCGTTCCCATAAAAGAGGACCTCAAAAGCCAGCGAGTGAGGGGCTGCTCTCTGAAACCCCTACTTGAGGGGAGGCAGTCTTCTGACCAGTCAGTGCACTTTTAAATACAGCTTGCTTCAAGCAGACAGCTGTGAGAATGCTTTTATCTCAGACTTAAAAGCAATCAAGGAAGCCCAGGCAGGAGAGCCGCAAGATCAAGGCCAGCCCTGGTGACTGACTCACCAAGACGCTGTCCTGAACGCAACGGCACAGAGGCGTACATCTGCAGTACAGCTCCCGCCTAGGGTCACCCAGTGAGGGCCTGGGGGCGTGGTCAGAGGTGGCGCCCCTACCAAGAATGCCCAAGTGAGGGTCTGGAGCTGGGGTAGAACACTGGGCTCCATCCCAGCACCATACAAAAGGAAATGGAAGGCTCCACGACGCCCTCCAGTGGCCATCTGACTCCTTCCCTTAGAATATCGGCTTTGGGTTCAATACCCAGGAGGCCCTGGCATGCACAAACCGTTGCTACTTCCTGCCTGCAACACAGGCCTGCCACGAAGCACCGGGCTGTAAGAATGCTCTCAGGAAACGGCCACCAGGGGACACAGCTGTCACAGTGACGTTGGGGCGGCCACGAGAGGAGAGCGGCTGGACTCGGGTAAGGTCTGGGGTGCTTCCTCCCTGGTCCACACTCACGAGCAGCCCCCGCGGGGCCTGCACAGCGCGGACTCCTGAGACCCGCTGCTCTCACCTGCCAGCATTCCCTTCTCGGGAATGTGACGGACGGACAGGTGGCAGGCGAGGCAGCTACGCCCCCTCCGACCGCACAGTCTTCGGGGAGCCCCGCCCCTGCCGGTCCGACCCGATCCCGACTCTGGCTCCGCCCAAAGCCTCAGTCGCCGATGCCCCTGGGGCTCGGCACTTACCCCGGGCCCTACGTCCTGGGAGAAGGAATGTACGACGCCTCCTGGCCTCACGTCAAACGGCACGGTGGTGGGCTCGGACACAGCGGCCGCCAACGTCAGCGCCGCGGCCGCCAGGAGCAGCACAGCCCAGAAGGCTCCGCTGGGCGCCGCCATCTTGGTTCCGGGCCAATGCGCAGGCGCTCGCGGACGGGGCGCGGCGAGGGACACGTGGGGCGGCCTGCGCGGAACACGTAAGCGCGATGCCGTGACGCGCAGGTCGCAGCTCTGGCCGCCACGTCGCGGCCGGGCACGGCTTGGCACGTGACGCGTTACAGCACCTCTGATTGGCGCTCGAGGATGAATGGGGAGAATTCGTGCTGCGGGGGTCAGAGTTTCCATTAACTTTTGCCTTTTTCCGGGTCAAGACCAGGTTCCCCAAGGGTGAAAAACGTATTCCGGTATTTTTACATGTGTATCTCATTTAAATGGACTCCAGGTCTCCATCTTTCGGGCAGCATGGGGCTTAACTGTGTTTTGTTAAATTATCTCTAATAGTTTCTTCGTCTTGTAACGTACTTTACAGTTTAAATTTTATTTAAAAATATTTTTATTGTGGGATCTGGAGAGATGGGTCAGCTATTAAATAGAGCACTGGCTGCTCTTGCAGAGAGAGCACCAGGTTCGAGTCCCGGCACCCACACAAGGCGGCTCCCAACTTCTCTAACTCCTGTTGCAGGGGACCCGACTTCCTCTTTTGACCTCTGCAGGTACCAGTCATGCATATGGTGCGCAGACGGACATGCAAGCCGGCAAAACACCACACACATCGTGATATGTAGTAAATACCAGATGGCCAGCCTCCAACTTATCTCCTAATTCCCTGCCTCCACCTCCGCAGAGCTGGGATGACAGGTTTCACTGGTGGTGGGACCCCGGGGATGCTAGGTGATGGCCCTAGCCTCTGAGCCACAGCCCAGCTCTATGGGTGAACTGCAGGCTCTATGGCCTGAAGTGGCTGTGGGCTTACGGGACCCTGCAGGTCTTATCTGACAGACACACTCGCCTGTTCCTACTCCCCAATGGCCAGACAGACCCTAGCTTGACAGTGTCCAGTGTTGAAGGAGGAGGGTGTCCGAAGCACGGACCGTGGACATTTTCACTTGGTGTGTCACAGGTGTTGCTTAGCTGTTCTGGGGCCTAAAGCATGACTGGTCAGCCCTGTGCTGCTGCAGTGTTCCCAGTTTTCTGTCTGTCTGTCTGTCTTTTGTTTGCTTTTTGAGACAGGGTTTTTCTGTGTAGCTTTGGAACCTGAACTTGAACTCACTCTGTAGACCAGGCTGGCCTCGAACTCACAGAGATCCGCCTGCCTCCGCCTCCCGAGTGCTGGGATTAAAGGCGTGTACCACCACCGCCAGGCAATTCCCAGCTTTGTGACTTGAAAGTTAGACTTAAACTGGCTGGCAAGATGGATGAGTATAGATAGGGGGAGGGGCTTACTGCCTGGCACTCCAGCCCTGGGGACTAGATGGTGACAGATCTGACTTCTGCAAGTTGTCCTGACTACATGTGAGTTGGGACAAGCCATGCATAACAGAAAATAAATATGTAGTTTAAAGAATTAACCTCCAGCTGGGCTGTGAGTTCGAGGCCAGTCTGGTCTACAGAGTGAGTTCCAGGACAGCTTCCAAAGCTACACAGAGAAACCCTGTCTCAAAACCCCCCTCCAAAAACAAAACAAAACAAAACATTAACCTCCAGCGCCAAGCGATCCTCAGCCTGGTCACAAGGACTGGCTCAAACTGTCCTGATGGTGCTCACCGCGGCCTGCTCCGTCCTCCTCTGTGTTCACCATCTGCTCTCTCGGTCCCTTCCCATCCCTTCCTTTTCGTTCTCCATTAGTTGTTCCTTTACATTTATTTATCCAGTGCGTGAAGGTCAGAGGGCAGCTCGCGGGGTCAGTTCTCTCATCCATCATGTGGATTTTGGCCATGAAACTTGGGCTTGGCAGCAAATGCCTTAACCCGCTGAGCAGTCTCAGCTGCCGCAATTTCTGTTTCCCACATTCCTTTCAAATCCAAGGGAATGGGGAGGGGGCTGCTTCACTAGGCACACAGGCCATGTGTGCTCAAGGGAACCTGGCAGAAGCCGCCAGCTGTGCAACAGGAGACTACCACCTCACCACTATAGGTCTTAGAGGGAAGCATTTCATCTTTGATAACTTTGCTAAATTTATGTTATTATTGGGGTTTCAATACAGGGTCTCTCTGTATAGTCCTGGCTGCCCTGGAATTCTGTAGACCAGACTATCCTGGAATTCACTGTGTAGACCAGGCTGGCCTCAAACCCATGGAGATCTGCCTGCCTGTGCCTTCAAGTGCTAGGACAGCCACCATGACCACCCGTCTTTAAGAATTCAATACTTTGAAGGCTGGAGAGACGGCTCAGCAGTTAAGAGCAGACCTGCTCTCCCAGGACTCAAATTTTATTCCACACACCTCATCGTGGGCTCACACCCAGCTCCTCTGGCTTCTGGAGACATCCACACTCACGTGCGAATATCCACTGACACAGACACATGCACACACATACACAAACAATTAAAAATACTACGCCTTTAAAGAATAATTTCAACAATTAAAATGTTTTTCAGACAGGGTTGTAAGTATTCAAGGATGAACTCCTGACCCTATGGCCTCCACCTACTGAGGGCTGGAATAGAGCCCACAGGGGGCGTCCTATGCACCCCAGCAACCCTGTACCCCCATCCCAGCCTGGCAAGAGCCCCCGCCCCCCACGCCGTGCAATCCCTCAGGCCAGCTGGCTTGAGAAGGACCCTCACACAGCACCATTTCCGTGTGGAATCGTTTAATGAGTCTACATACCACATAATTATAAAAGAATAAGAATTGACAAAAATATTTTCTTTCCATAATATGTAGAGGTGGTTTCTGGGTTGTTTTTTTTTGTTTTTTTGTGTTTTTTTGTTTTTTTCCTTTTTTTCCTTCTTTATGCCCGAACTCTGATGGGAGGGGTGGGAAGGGCTACAACCCTGAGGTCAGGATGGGTCCTACTCCCGATCCCGGCACCCCGGGCGGTGTGTGAGGAGGAGTCAGGCAGGGACAGGTAGCGCAGAGGGCGTCTCAGACACAGGCTTGGCAGCTCCGCATAGGCTGGGCGTCGGGAGGGCGTTGGAGTCCCCAGCTGCCCAGTGCCGTACCTCCAATTTTATATTTCGGTACCGCTTCCTGTCTTTTAAATAATTATTAAAAATGCTCCCCAAACACACACGACTCTGCAGTGGGGGGTGGGGGGGACACGGGGGCGGCACATGCTTCTGTGCTGGGATGGTGCTGCAAGTTTGGGGCTGTGGCAGCCCCCATGACGGCTGTAGGCCCGGTGGCGGCCTCCTCCTAACCAGCCCATGGAGGGAAGCATGGGGGCCTCCACCGCCTCTATCCTGGCCCCCAAGCAGCAGCAAGCAAACAAATCGAAAGCTTCAAAAACTAAAAGATTACAAAAAACGCAAGAAAAGCAGCGACGGCATCAGGGCAGAGGTCGGAGGTCACAGATGCTCCTGCAGGAAGTGCAGCAACGTCACCTCGTAGTGCTCCCCGGACTCGGGGCAGCGGATGCTGTGTCTCTCGTTGGGGTAGATCTGTGGAGGAAGCAGGGTTGCTGCAGCCAGGGGCTGGGGTACACAGATCGCCACATAGGGCAGAGGCATTGGTGACATGGGTTACTGAATCACCAGGTCCAGGGCGGGACATCTCTTCTCCAGACCCACAGCTGCCACCCACGTGTAACCCTGGGAACGAACGAAAGCCATGGCCTCGCCTCCTCTATCCTGACCTATAATCATACCACCGCCCCCCAAGTCAGAAGTCTGACAACACCCCACCTCCTTCGAAGAGGGAAGCAATGTCCCTCTCCTGTACTATGTGGCCTCCACAGTCCAACAGGATGTCCTCCAGGCAGAGGGCCCCCCCCCAGGTCTGCTCCCCACTTCACAGCTGAAGCTCCGCCTCTTAGCAAGCTCCACCCCTCACGCCAAGGCTCCACCCAGTAGGCCCTACCCACCATGCTCACTCCCATGGCAGGGTAGGGGGTTCCCTGGGACTGTGTCCTCACTCGCTTCTGCACCTTTAAATATTCCCTCCCTCAGGGAAGTCCTCTGGGGTCTCTAATCATTTAGCGGCACCCCCATGCCTGTAGCCAAGCCGATTCGTCAAAGCAGGGGTCTCTGGTAAAATCACGGAGGACCTGGGGTGTGGCGGTTGTTGGCACAGGCCGGCCAATAAAGATGTGACTGAACACAGGGCCCTGAGAGCTCAGACCACACCGGGCCGGGGTGGAGCGTGGAGATTGGGAGGTCCCCCCAGAACCACTCACCTGGAGTTGATAAGGCTTCCCTGCCCGGATCAGCTGGGACACGAGGAAGTTTGTGTGAAAAAAGTGGACGTTCTCATCCAGGAAGCCATGGAGGATGAGCAGGCGGTTAGGCCTGGAGGAGACAGGAGAGGGGGTGAGGTGTCTGGAGGACAAAGGACGTTCCCACTGGCTCAGAGTCTCCAGTGCAGCAGGCAGGACAAAGTGGCGGGAAAGGGTATCTGAAGTAGCCCACGCCCAGGCATTTGGGCGTGGTGGAATGTTCTGGATGCATGTTCCCACTATGACCACCACTAACCATTGCATTATGTGCTGGCCACCAGCCACCTGCAGCCTAGCAGAATATCAAGTGATCAGAATGACCAAGAAGGTGAGTTTTCTCTTATATCAGATTCATTTGTTTTAGAGACAGTGTCTCATGTAGCAGAGGCTGGCCCTGAACTGCCCATGTACCTAAGGATGACACTAAATTCCTGATCCTCCTGCCTCCACCTAAAGAGGGTTGGGATGCTACCATGCCTGGGTTCTGTAGTGCTGGGCTGGGGACTAGGGCCTCCTGTATGCTGGCACACGCTCTGCCACGGGGCCCAGGGACTCCTGCATGCTGGCACACGCTCTGCTACGGGGCCCAGGGCCTCCTGCATGCTGGCACATGCTCTGCCATGGGCAGGGCCCAGATATTTTATTTCAACTTTATGCACTAATGTTTCCTGTGAATGACAGAGCAGCATTTGGTGGTGTCTTTGTTGCTTTATAATGTTGTATACCCATTAGATCTCTAGTTCTGGAACATTCCATCCTACAGAGAAAGCCATCCCAGCAC